AGCCCCGGTTTTGCTGGTAGAAGAGCTGATGACCCTGGTCTGCCTAGCCACCGTGGTACCCACATCACAGCTGGCAGAGAGGACTTAATGAGCTTTCCCTTAGTTCAGGTCAGACAGAACCAGCCAGGGTGGCTTAGATGAGTTTCAATTAATCTATACAGTTTTGCCCAAAGCAAACAGAGGGAACTATACACCACTAGTCATCTGAGGGGGAGCAACTTCCAGTGGGAAGGGTAGGTGAGAGCAGGGAGACTGAAAACCTCTTCCAGAGCTGGGTCTGGAGGAAGAAAAGTCCTTGTGGCCCAATGCGTGCAAGAAACCCCTCCTAGAAATCCACCAAATTACCCGGGTGGGCAGCAGCAGCATTCCTTCCTAGCAGCAGACAAAGAGGCTTTTGCTGAGCCCAGAGGAACAGAGAGATGACATTCGTGCACTTTCTGTATAAAAAGACAGAGAGGGCCTTGAAGGCTTATTATGGGAATGAGCAGAAGCAGCTGGTAGGAATCCCTGCAAGTGCCTGGGAGCACAGAGGAGTTTGGAGGTAGGAGAGGGCCCTGCTCAAGGGAGCCGCCAAGGCTAGGAAAACACCAGGGAAATGGATGTCGGACATACTGGGAGATGGGGCTGCCATGACAAACTGCCAGGCGAAATAGCAACTTGCACGACCAAGTATCTGCCCTATTGAAACAGAGAAAATTAGGAGAAGAGTCTGCTGGCTCTCAGTGCTTCACCATGGTGACTGGCAGCATCAATCTCCAGCCCCCTGGGCCACCGTGTGTCAGGCAGGAGAGGAGATGAGCGACACGGCTGTCCTGGTATGTAGGTGTTGCCTCTGCTCATGTACAAGGGCTCACCTTGAAAACAGGCCAGGCACCAGGTAGATGGGTGCTGAGCTCCAGGGCAGGCAGTCAGCCAAGAGGAGCCGGAGCCCTTCTCAGGCAGCAAGGAGGCTGGGGGGAATGAGGTGGGGCACTGGAGAGGATGCCAGCTGCTCGATGGAAGAGCAATCAGTTAAACCTGCTGCTCTCACCTTGGGAAATTCCAGGTTCCTTCCACAAATGAAATGTTCCTTTTTCAAGCTTGTTTTGGTGGGGTTCCTGCCTACACCCAGGCTGTATAAACAAAACCAGCACTGAAAGTAAAAGTGTCCGTACTGTGCTATATGCAGGACTCCCTTCGCTTCTCGTGTTAATCATGGTGTGACGGCCACCCTCTGTCACCTCAGTAACATGCTCAGTTAAATCTGATCCTTTTGAACATCTGCAGTGTGAGTGGCACATGCCATCACATGAGCAGGTCCTCTGAGAGATGGCTGACGAATCACCTGCTGACAGATGGGTGTCCTGGTGACTCAGCTCTGATGACCTGCTGCCACTCATCAAGGATGGTTTTGCCACTTCCACTCTAATTAGCTAGGCATCTAACAGCATGGCATGTGTTCGAGCTGATCTTCTCTGCTTCATGGATGCTTTATGTCGTAGCTGAACTGTCAATGCCCTTCTTTCTTCCATTTCCCTAGAAGGCAGAGAGCCACAGAGTGGATTTGACTTGAAGTCACTGTAACGGGTGATGTGCTGCACTGAGCACGGGCACTGCAGAAGAGCTGTGAAAGGAAATATCCAAACCCTGAAGTGGGAGAGGATCCCACTCTGAAGGAGCAAAAAGCAGATGCCAGTGTGGAACTGCTTTGGGGCAGCCAAACAAACCCTGGTTTGGATGGTAACTATATGACGTTATCCACATCTGTGAGAACCCAAGAAAACTTCTCAGTGAGGGCCAGGGTTGGGGGCAGAAACACAGAAACTTGCAGAAACTCTGAGTGATGGGGGAAGGCAATTGTCAGGCAACTGAAGCAGATTAGGGGCAGAGAGATACGGATGAAGACATTACCTGAAATCGCTATCCTCAAAAAAATGACAAGCCGATGCAATTTCTAGCTGGATGTACTGGATTTCAGTGCAAATGGGTGCGCCACGCATGCTTTTTTTTTTAGTGTTTTTGCTCAAAAAGCGGAGCATTTCCTGTGGGAACTTGCAAAGACAAACTCCTATTCTCGGGTTTGGAAGGAAGACACTTTTCCATGCCCCCCAGGGAGAGTCCCTGACAGGACACGCTGGGGAGAAGGCAGAGCTTTCTGGTGGGCTCAGGAGGAGCTGGGAGGATTGTCTTTCTGTCCTCACAGGCTTTTCTTCCTTTAGGGGTGCCTGGCTGTTGCAGGAGTGAGGCGAGAGGCTGCTTCTGCAGCTCCTGTGGAAGGCTGTGGCAGTGGAGCTGTGCCAGCGCCGGTGCTGAGCCACCCGTTTGGACTGCACTGTGGTTTTCCAGGGAATCACCCAGACCAAAGCTGTCACGGAGCACACCTGACAGGCCTTACTAAAGCATTTCCCACTCCCATAACGCAGGCAGGCAATGTTCTTCACTGCTCTTGGGTCCAAGCTGGGTCCGAGCCACCAGCCGGGGCGCGGATGCTGCCACGGCTGCCCAGGTGTCCCAGGCAGATGGGGGGGAAATCCTGCACAGCACAGTAAGGCACGTAAGCTGCCTTATGCCATTTTCTGGTTAATACCAATTTCCCTAAGGTTCTTCACACCCACTTACATAGTGATTCAAGTGGAACACACTGCCTGGGCCTGATTTCCACTGAGTGTACAGACTCAGAGGGCCACGCACGGATCGGAAGGTCAGTGGCAATCAGTTGTATTCCCTGCCCTAGTCCTATTTACCCACCCTGTAGCACTCTGCTGCTCTGAAGCACTGCAGGAGCATAAATTTTGGTCCACCCTAATCGAAGTGTCACTTGGGGTCTCCCCCACTCCTGCTGATCATTCGCTTGGAGGAGGAAATGCTTGAGGGTGTTTCCAGCAAGCCTGCAGGACTGGGGCAGAAAATACACACATGTAAAAGTCAGATTGGTTAGTGAGGAAAAAATGATGAAAACCAAGCCCCCAGGAACTGTGGGATGGACACACCATAGCCCTTATGTGAAAAAAAGGCACATTCCTCCCATATTTTCAGCCAGCTTTGCCTTGAGGCTGAACACAGCAAGAGACCTACATAGTGACAGAACATTCCTCTGGGCACATTTTCCCTCCCTTTTTTCCATGTTTTTTTGTTTGTTTTTTTCTTCTGATTGGTCATATGTGGCAACAGCTGCTTTAGGAGGAAAGCACTGCTCTGGCCTCAGCATCCACTGGTTCAGCTTACTCAGCTTCTCCTCAGGGGGATTTTTAGAGGAAGATAATCAGCACTGTGGCTAAACCAGCTTCCCTTCAGCAGCCGGTAAAAGATCCTTGACCTCCAGAAGAGGAGCAAATGCCCTTCACTGTGGTGAACTATTTCACACCGTCCATGGTAACACCAGGTCCCCATCCCGCTGATCACAGGGGGAAGAGAATTAAGGCTTGCAGTCTGATGTGTTCATAGCCCCTAATTCTCCAAACACTGTAGCTGATCAGGGTTGAGGGATTTGAAGGGATTTTCCTCTTTGTGAGAAATATATTTCTACTAAAGTTAAAATCTCTGTTAGCGCTGGTTGTACAGCACCTTTTCTTTTCCATTTGAATGCTGAGTGTTTTACTTTGGTCCTTATCTGCTTAAAATCAGGAACATTTTGGCCATAAAAAAGTTAGAAAGTTTGTGGCTTTTAAAAACTGCCTGTGCCCGACGGCACTGTCTATTCTCCTGACAAAACAGTTGAGTATAAAAGAATGATCCCTCCCTCCTCCTACCAGAAGGGTCTCCAGGGGATGTGAGTCTGCAGAGACTGTCATGAAAGGAGCAGCACCTAGTGCTCACTCCAGCTGGGATGCTGGCATGCTGTCTCCTTTCCTCGTTCAGAGGACACTGTGACATTGTGTAATGACAAGGCTGCTGTGTTTTAGGAACAAGAAAAGAGGAAGGAAACTGTGCAAGACAGGGGGTTCCCAGACTGCAACACTATCTTTATACTTTTGAATGGAGGAGAAGTCTGGGAACAGGGAAACCAGGAGGGGGTTTTGGTACCTTTACTTCTTGCTGAGACAGTAATTCAGATCCCAGTTGAAGCTGAGGTGGTTTCCCCACCCCGGGCAGCTCACGGCAATCACCTGGAAGGCCCACGCAAACCAGGCGGGACCCTGTAAACTGCAAGATGCACACAAAGCCCATGAATGACCTCCTGCCTCATTTGCTGGCGGAGCTGCTGACACCACAAAATGCTGCTGGCAGGGCTAGGAGTGACGCATGACCCCAGGGGAGGTGGGACTGACCCACCAGCTCCATCCATGCCCACGCCCTGCCAGCCTGCAACAGCTCTCCAGCAGCACGCATCGCATGGCACCCACCAGTCCCTCCCAGCATCTCCCGTCCCCCCAGCTGGGACGGCGGAGTGCCCTCCCATCCCAGGTCCCTGCAGGTGAGTAGGAGCGTGTCATGCTCCGTGGCACGGAGGGGAGCGTGGGGTGGGGTGCGTACGTGCCAGGGCACAGATAAGCTGCAATGTCCCTACACAGCCTGCAACACCTCACCGCTCACACCCTCTGACTCTTAATTTGTCTTTTGATTTGGTCTTAGCAGGCCGTTTGACAAAGCTTATTGAAGAGACCAACCTCCAAATTTAAACACTCATCTTAGATTGCAGGAGCTAATGCAGCAGGGAGTTTTTCTGTGAAGCCATTGTAGTATTTCAAGCACAATTAGGTTTGACCTACAGCACCTGGGTGGCAAGATGTCACTGCCCATCTGACCACAAGAGATAAAAGCATAGGCCAGACTGCTGGAGTCCTAGCAGACAAAAACCCATTATTCACTCTTTGTAAAAAAAAACCCCTATAACAAAACCACATTGCCACAGCTGCAAAGGCCATGATATGTCTGCACTGAGCAGATACCATTTGGCTCAGCTGCAGGACATTCAAAGGCTCTAGGAGAGAAAATCTTCAGAGGGAGAGAGGACTCTGAAGAGACTGTGCACATTAATACAGAGTTTTACTTTTTTACAGGATCTGCAATGAAGCTTGGTCCTGGGCTTGTTGAGTATTTGGCCGTACTGCTGTGGTGCAATTACTGAGCGTGGGAATTCCCTCCAGGGTGGAGCCCTGTGCTGTAGGTGTGGTACCAACAAAAACAAGCACAGGTTTTCACTGCTTCTTTCAGGGTGGGCCTCAGAGCCCAGCAGCTGGGTGTGGGGAAAATTGCATTGAAATTTTTCTGCTGTTTACAGTTTAGTAGAAAAGTAATTAACTTCTAAGTGTATGGAAGTTGGAGGGGACAGGACTAGGACAAGCACCGATTTGACAAATTTCAAGGTATGCTTATCCTGGTATGGTGTAACTAACTTCCCACAGAATTTGCCATTTTTGTCTCCAAAAAAGAATACCGATACCTTCTCTCGGGTCAAAAAGTATGCCTGTGACCTGGGCATGGGAGGTCTTAAAAACACCTGAAAACGAGAGCAGTTTATAGAAGTTGGTTGGTTTGCATGAGACCACTCTCTAAACATGTTAAAAAATGGTTGGAATAATCATGACTTACGATTCAGACGAGGAAGGAAAGAAGGGTGGTGATATTTCTCACTGTGAACAGTGGCAGAGGGCTCCTCCGAAGCCACGCGAGGGGTCACGCGGTAGCTGTACCGGAGGCGGGTAACGGCTGTGCCCTGCGGAACCGCCTGCCGCGGGGTCGGCGGCTGCTCGGGGCCCGGCCGCCCCGTTGCTAGCCTTGGCGAGGCTGCACCACGCGAGGATATTTTTAATCAAGATTTTAAAGCACAGATCCAGCTGAAAGGAGCCAAGCAGGTTCCGCCGCAACTATATTTAATCACTGTTCTGAATCCTCTCCCACAGCCCGTGGCACAAGGCTCGCAGGAGTGCGGTGGTGCCTGGGCTGGCTTCCTCTCTAGCTCAGCTATCCTCACATGACCCTGCTTACTGAGGACAACGCTGTTTTCTTCCCCAGCTCTAAAAATCAACAGATGTGCAAAACCAAGCGCCCAGATTTTATTCACAGTTACTGTGAATACTCAAGTTGTGTTAAATGCCTGTCTTTCAGCATAGGTGTAATTTAAGATTTTCGCTTTATTTTACTTACTTATTTTTAACAGAACTTCCAAAGGCAGATCGGAGGCAGAACATCACAGAAGAGCAGGCAATAACGCATTAGCCAGCACAGCTAACCTGTCTCAGCAGCTCCACAGTATTTGTCAAGACCAGAGGGAGGGAGTGCAAGCCTTTCCCCAGCAGGAACGATTCCAGACAGTAACCACAGCTCTTAAATCCAGCCCTTTCAAGCACCCGCTTCACACAAAACTGGGACGCGCGTGCATAAAGGGCTTCATACTCTTTGTATGGCTAGGAATAAGTAGGTACCCACAGAGTGGGCTCAAGTACCATCTGGAGGACTGTACTTTTACCGCTGGAGAGTGCCACGAGCTAGCGATGTGCATGAAGCTGCCAAAGAGCAATTGTTTACTCTCCTAGGTAACTATCGACCTCAAAATGGTTTAAAATACCAACACTACATAGCCATGGCAACCCGCAGTATGTGGCACTACCAAATCGAGGGGTGTGCTTTATGCACTCTGATAGGGTAATAAAACATCAGCTTGTGCTGAACTGGGCCCTACCCTCCCCGCTCCCACAAGCTCTTGTCCTCTCCCTTTCACAAACACTGGAGCTCATGCAACTGGGTGGTGAGCCAGTGAGCTGAGCTGGACACAAGTTAATCCTGCAGTAAAGAACGGACAAGTACTGGCCCAGATGGACTCCCTAAACGGGGTCAGCTTGCACTCAGGTGCATGCCCATGCTGGCACACGGGATGGCGTGGGACCAGGCAGCGACTGAAAGCTTCAGACTGAATGTTTCCAACCGGGGTCTGGTAAAGACGCGGTGGACCAGCACCTTTGGCTGTTCACACCACGAGCCAAACACCATGAACCTGAGCCTAGGAGCTGGAACAATCCCCTTTGCCCACGCTGCTCTTGCAGCACACCTTGGCCTCGCCAGCCCTTCTGAAAGCTCCGCGCTCCTGGCAGAGCTGCATTACAGCGTGTATCCATTCACACATGTCAATTCTTGTTATAAAGCACAAGTGGTCATGTACTGTGATGGTATGTGTTTTAATTTGCTACCAAAGTGGGAAAGCATCACATACTCATTATCTGCATTTGAAATAAGGGCTGTAGCATCATTTTGCAAATACGTGCTTCATCAACAGAAGCAGTTTCTCAATCATCTTCCTGCTGAATGCATTGTACGTGCTTTCGTTTGTCAATAGGTCTAACATCAGAGAGCAGAAGAATCTATTTTATCCTCTTTTTCTCTATTAATAACTAAATCCTCCTCTTAAAATTGAAGGGGAAAGACCTTTGCTACTCTATTCCTGTAACATAGACCACTTGTAATGCTATTTATCACTCACTTTTTTTGTTATCTTCCTTTTCTGGGCAATCTTGTGCCCTTTTTCAGACCATCAAAACCCTTACCTGGATGCCAGGACATTCACAACATCTGGGTTTGATTTCCCCCCTCTCCAGACTTATTTTGCAGCCCATCTCTGAATTAATGGACCATTTGAATTTATGGACCATTACTCCACTTTAAGACAGTTGCCCCCTGTTGAACTACCTACACAAGGGCTCAGGTCTGTTTCCTGCGTTGGAGTGAGAAAAGTGTAGGTGTCAGTGCAAAGTACTCAAAGTAGGAAAAAAAAAGTTAAAAAAAATTACTTCCTGGTGAGTACTCTTGTCACCCAAGGGATATAACTATTTTTGCCCTTATAAAGCCAATTTTACACTATTTTAGACTTTATTTACTTGGTTTGTTACTAGGTAAAAGAGGTTAGTATTGGAAACTTCTCCTGGAGTTAAGAACAGGGAACATCATCACCTAATCTTCTAATAAGCATTCAACAAACATTCCATATGTGCAGACACCCATGAGGCAGAGCATCTGGGAGCTACAGGCTGAGAAATCCACTGGAGACTGAGGGTTCAGGCAACTTGCCACTACCTCGCAGTGAGTCAGGCAGCCTTCCTGGTCATCACTGAAAATCCTACTTTCTCTCCCATTCCTTCTGCTAGCAGCCTCCACAGCAACCCTCCAGCCTCCTTACAGGCACATCCCCTTACCTTCGGGGGCAGTGAGTAACTAAGCTAACCTGGTAGCCTATTTTCAAGGTTGACCACATCCTTAGGTGAGAAATGTTTTGGTTTTGTTTTTTTTTTTTTTTTTCTGTCAGCCAGGCATTTCCAAAGACTGTTAACTGAAACTAGGCTAACATTCAATGCAAATAAATTTTTTCACAACACCCTAAAGGTAGGCACAACTACAAGTGGTTTAAAGGACACTGGTGGAAAAGGGAACAAAAGAAATGCTGCCCATCCCACTTGTGCTAAAACCCAATCCAAGGCAGCTGTCCACATTGGCAGCCAACTCTCTGTGGGTTTTCTTGACACCTCGTTGGAAGTTCTACCTTCCTAAACGCCCTAAAGCTGCACTGCCCAGAGAGAATCCCCTTGCCTGGCCAGCCATGCCAGCCTCCAGTTAGATTCCAGACAGACGGCTTCTATGTATTCAGAGCACTGATATCCCCCTCTCCCTAAGGAAAATACTTGCTTATAAGGGAGGATTTTGACTGCAGCTGCTACCAGATGTACCACTAGTTTAACCAGACTCTGATTATGGATCCAGTCCTGCACTGCCCCCTGTGCTAGTACTACTATTGCAGGACAAGGATCAAGGTTAAAATAGTGTCCAGACTGAGTTAACGCCACTTCTCTGGATGTATTTAAAAATTTTATTTTTTAAAAACATAGGCTTGCTTCTAAATCAGGTTCCCCAGGTAGCCCTGAAAATTCCTGGGCTACAGAATAGGTTTAGGAGCTGGGGAATTGGGGTGGAGATGCTGTAACAGTGCTGTCCCCAAAGAAGCCTTCTTCAGACTAGGAGGGGGTAGCCTCAATGCTGCTCAAATGAAGGCTCGTGTCACCTGCTGACAGAGGCAAATACCACTTTGGTGGACCAGGTGTCATCATACAGGTTTAAGTCTGAGTTGTCAAGAGGATAAAACGAGCTATGGATGATTAAGTTCCTTTGGTGATACAGGCTGTGGTTTCCACAGCAGCTTAAACTAGAGGCAGTGCACTGCTATTTCCTTTGTGCCTCCTTTATGCCAGCAGTACTGATAATTTGATCCTACAGTGAGCTGATCCAGGTCCCTAATCCAACAGAGAACTGAACCAAATGAAACAATGTTTTCCATCAGTTTAGTAAACAGAACAGCTCATTACAAATGTAAATGGCTGAAGGAAGAGGGCAGCCATAGATGGGATCAAAAAAGGGAGGAGAGTGAACGTACCTGCAAACATCACAGCAATATTAGATGTCAGTGAAAGGCATCCCCATTCCTCATCATGCAATCCCAGTCCATGCACATTCATGCCATGGTTCTCCATCCACCTCTACTAAGTTTGACTCTAATCTGGGAGAGGGTTGCTTTCTAGTCAAAGGAATCCCATAAGGGATTAAAGACCTGTTCACAACTCTGTGCCAGTGGGTGTCAGAAGAGGCACATTTCTGGGACAGAAAACAAACAGATATCATTTGCTAGCACAAAAAATTACAGTTTGGCCTGGGTGTCCTAATGCACACTGCATAGTACACTGCTAAAGCCTGAGCTAGGAACTCTACTCGAGAGGCCTGTGGTTCAATGTACGTATCAGCCAAGCCACAATATGTTGCACAGCAAGGCCGTGTAACGTATCTGCAGCACCAGGAGGCTCGGCTGCAGCCAGCACGTTCCAAAAAGGACCAGGAGAAAAATACTAACCCAAAAAATGGAAGCACACGCTTCTTTGCAGATGACTCAGTTCTGCCAAATGCAGTTAGCTGTATTTTGACTTAGTGATATGGGGAGTCTGTCTATTCACCAGGTTTACAGTCAAATACATTACAGCTCCCATATTTAACATTGCAGCACAGAATTTTCATAGATGATGGTGACATATGTAAGACTATTACTACAGAAAAGATTACTGTGCTAAGAAAACCTTGGTGAACAGCAGCAAATACTGATAGTAACTGAGAGTTTTGACAGTCATTTAAGAAATGCAAGTTTACATCTACAGACATAGTACAAAGGATGGGAGAAAGTGTTTTGTTTGGTTTTTTAAATGTGAGAATCACGATAAACAAAATCCAGACGCTATTTTAAGCAGCTTTGCCTAAGCATGTGATGATCCTTGTTTTAGTCTGGGCATGAGAGGTTTAAGTTCACTGTTCCAACGGATCCTGAAGGACAGGATGTCTTGCATTGTTTCCAAATAGTTTGGGTTACAGCAAAACAAGAGAACAGAACAAATTGTTACTAGCAAGAACTGGCTGGAACAAGCTATGACAATTTAAGAACTTCCCATCTGAAAAAAAAAAAAAAAAAAAAAAATCACTGATTACAAAATGAAAAGCAATGCCCCTACTGTTATCACCCTGGTAGTGTAGGTTTTTTCTAGAAGAAAACATTAATACCATCATGGATATGCTTCATAAAACTTGATCTCATGAGCCAAAAAGGCTGCTGTTTTGCAGAACTCAAAATAGCAGGCTTTGCTTCTGTGCCAGAAAAAAAAAAAAGTGTTTTTTTTCTTTTTTTTTTTTTTTTTTTTTTTCAGATACTAGCAAGCTACAGATCTAGTTCTTTCATCTCACTTTCAACAGTACACACTGAACCAAAATACTTCTTATTTTGTACACCTGGTCATTGGCTTAATGAGAAACAGGACAGAGGAGGTAGAGGTGAGTGCAGCATATTATTCCATGTCATTAAAATTGCTGTAATATATCTGCACATACTTGCTCCACTTGAACTCCCCATCTACCTCTCTCTGCTTAGACTGGCATCACTGGAGGCTTTACAGTGAAAAGGTGTAACACAGGGCATTACAAGTTGATTTAGTACCACGTCTTGCACTTAAGTATCTGAAATCCTAGAGGGGTTCATTACTGCCTGCCTTAACATCTTTTGTTTCCAGGATGAATACACAGACAGCTCCTGATGACCCACAGATGATTTATATTAAGATTCCCTATTAAGCAATTTCTGTCCATAATACATGCCATTGCTGCTTCTGGGGCCCCCTTGGAGTGGGGGGCAGGGGTTGCTCTTAAGAAATCCAGATGCTTTTCAGAGAGTCCAGTAAGTACTGATTTACCTAAGTTGACTGCACATGCTTGGATTTGCATCCTTACACGCTACACCACAAATAAAGAGCACTGGGAATATAACACAGACACAGTTGCAAGGCTGTGCAGAGCCAGTCTGAGTTTAGTACAGATAACTGGTCTTGATCTAGTATGCAAATAAGAGTCGACCCTATTCCTACTTAATTACCCATACATTCACACTGTAACTGCATCTACCAGAGTTTCAGCACTGGCACAACAAACCACAAATATATGGAGTGAGCCCAAGTCTGGTAGCACTCTTGATGAGCTCTGCCCAAACCAGAAGTGTTTGGATCATACCGTGTGTACTCTAGCTTCTCTGCATGTGCCAGGTTTGGAACAGCAGGTGATATCAGGTACAGCGCAACACCAGCCATGGCTGGTAGTTTGGTTGCAGGTGTTATCTGCTCCAGGGTGAGGAATGTGATCATGTATGTGTGTAATGCAGGGGATTTTCCCATTAGATCAGGTATCCCCATCTGTGTAGCAGCCTTATCTTAAACAACAAAAAGCTTTGACTGAAAAAGTCCCATCAGTATGAAAAGAGAATCATGAATTTTCACTACAGGACAAAATACTAACAAAAATGGCATTTCAGTTGCTGCTTTTAACTTTGCTTATTAAAAAAAAAAAAAGAAAAAAGATGCAACTTTCCCAGTTAATATATTGTAGACAGCTGATTTCATCATCTCTGAATACAAGATGGGATATTCTGCACTGCAAAAGCGTAAGATACGAACAAACACCCATTGCTCTCAGAACCACCACCTGAGTTATACAATCACATGCAAGCTCCAAAATTTAGAATTCAAGGTTTTGCAGGGAGTTTTAATACTAAGTACTATGCAAATGTGATCTAGTCATATGGCTCCCAGATTGCCA